TATCAATCTTTTCATCATCGTTAATTGAATATACACATGCTTAATTTGTTGTTTTTTCTTCAATTTTTCTACTGTCTTAGTATGGAATCTTTCTTTCTTTCTTTTTTTTTTTTATATAAAAAATAAAAAAATATATTAAATAATGAAAAATTACAGTGTAAGTCTCTATCTCATGGTAATATAGCCTAAAGTAACTATCCTAAAAACAGAAATCAGAAGCACAACTTATAATACTAGTAACAGATTTAAAGTATGTCCATTATGGATATTGACAATTAAGTAAAGAGAGTCATCTGCAACTAAAAATTATAATTACAATCATTGTATGAACTAAATAAAACTACTGATATAAAAAGGAAAGTCGCTATGAGCATTATAAATTACTGGACAAGTCCTCATCTATTTAACCAGTTTCATGGGAGAGCAAGGGATTTCAACAATAAATAGTTTCCAACTCACAAGTTGTCACCCTGTCTATTCATTGAGGAATAGTCAACAAGAGGGGCATGGTCCACCATCCAAGCCTAGGCACCTCCCTCGTCTCCATGAACTCCCAACCACGGCCCTAACTGTTCCAATCCTCTTTAATCCCATGTTGCCGAAATTCATTAAGAGAACGAGAGCCCCTTTAGCGATTGGAATAGAGTTCTTCCCTTTCAGAACACTATCGGCTTCACCAACCGCATTCCTTTCCTCTTGCTTTCGGCCAAAAAACCCAATCAACCTCCAATGACAACCACCCGGATCAACAATTACAATAGCAACAGGGGGTTGTGAAACAAAGGATTGTTTCAGTTGAGAAACATTTGTCCAAAGCAGAGCCAATCCACCCCCTATCGATCCAATCAACGGTAAAGCCGTATGCAAACCCTAGATCTAAACAAATCAGATACATCGCGCTTTGTTTCAAGAGGAAAATGATGCTGGGCATGCAGGAGACAAAGCGGCTTTAGATCTGAAATCACAGAGTCCTCCCCGAGATCTCCCAAGACCAATATGCAATTCAAATCCAAGAAGGGAATAGGGGATCGAAACAAAAGTAAGAAATAAAGAGGAGGGGCCTTGAAAAAACAAGGAGAAGCACCAAAGTGAGAGGCTCGCCAACCGGAGAGGAAAACCCTAGTAGTGGAGGCAAGAGAGGAAATCATTTTTCTTTTTTTATAAATGGTAAGTTTAAATGTTTATTAGAGAAAAAAATTTAAAATTTACTTTTAAAAATAAAAGAAGAGTAAAAAATAAGTTAAAAAAATTTATAAAAAATACAAATTTAAAACTTTTCAAAATTTACTATTTAAGATTTTTTTTAAATTAAAAAATATAACTTTTTTTAAAAAAATTTAAATTTATAAAATATAAATAATATAAAAAAACGAAAACTTCACCAAACATTCTTAAAAATTTCCTTGTTCTTGACTGAAGAAGGAAAATAATAATAGATAGACTACGGTTCAGACTAGCTGGTCCTACTAAGCCTATGAGAAGGGAAAAACTGGTGTTTGCTATTGACTGCCGAGATTGCTTCCAGTGGCATTGTCGTTTAGCTCCAAATCGGATCTTTTATTGCCTCGCGAGGAGAAAAATTACTTCTCTGCTATAAAATTCAACAAGCGATTAAATGGAAATTTTGTCTTTAGATCGATTGGTCTTATCAGACACGTTGAGCTCCGTTAGGTCGCCCGCCACAGCGAATCCTTTTCAATTGTTCATCTTTTCATATATATCTTGGGGGAGATTCAGGTGTGTAAGCTATCAATCTTTTCATCATCATTATTTGAGTATATACACATGCTTAATTTGTTGTTTTTCTTCATTTTCCCTGTCATTTCTTCAATTTTTCTACTGTCTAAGTTTGAAATCTTTCTTAATTTTCTATTTGTCAGCAAAATTTTCTATTTATCAGCAAAGGAATGGTTGGATTTGTAACCCTTATTACTAATTTCCTTATATTGTCTCTGCCACAAGGAAGAATTAATGGCAGCAGGACGTAAGCGAGGACCGCCACCGTCCGAGGAAGAAGTGAAGAGAAAGAGGGAGGAGAAAAATAGAAAGGATAGAGAGTATCGGGCCAAAAGGAAGGTAAATAAATCTGTTGTTTTCACTTCTCATATGATCTAAGTCATGACAGTTAGCATAAGCATGTATAAATATACTTTCCTACATATATATACATGATCATGCATAACACAGTCTGTTTAATTATAACATGAATCATCATTAGAAGCATATAAATATACATGCATGTCATTCAACTTCCTCTTATAAGTTAGTCTTTGGCTGATGACTATAAAAGATCCTCATCTACTCTGTTGTAAACTTGTAATTGTAAATGCAGCGTCAATTGGAGGATTGTATGGAGTTTTGTCAAAAGGCTGAAATTGCTCCCTTGTTCGAAGCCTTCATGGAAAAGAGAGAACAAGAGTCCATGGGAGACTTAAAATGTCTTGAAGAAGATTTGGAGGTGCGATCATCTGTGCCTTACTTCCTTCCAAGTTCCAACCATGCCCCCTTTGTTTTTGGGTTATAATATAAAAGTCCCCTGTTTATTTATGAGAACAAAAAATGATTTCAAATTAATGATTGAATCTATATTGTTCTGACTGATCGTTGTTTACTTGAATTATATTTTTCTGAATTATAGTTTTAGACTATTTCATGTTTCCCTTCTACTGCCCTTTATCTGAATTTTTTCAACACTTTCTCTGAAATTTTAAAAGGATGTACCACCGGATACTTTTGACGAGGATACTTTTGTTAACTCTTTGCTGGTGGATCCTGAAATGTTCCCAGAAAATTTGGCGGGTATGTATATATTTTGATGCATTGTTATATTATTTTTGACATTCTTCTAATTATGGAATATTATTATTTTAACTTTTTCTTTAACCTGCAGGATCCTCAAATGTTGCCTCAGGTTCCATGAATTCGAGTGCAACTGGTGGAGGTAGCGAGTTCTTTTAGTACTGAGTTTGCCATGTCTTAAATGTTTTTTGGGTATATCTGGAGTTAGTAACTTGGTATTACATGACCCTATTGTCTCTCCTGCTGAGCCTCATCATGACCCTCTTGGCATGCAAGGAGAAACTAGTGCTGCCGCTGGATCTTCCAGTGGTCCCACCACCCAGCCCTCACCATACAATGAAATGTTTTAGCTTTACCTTGATCCCACTTTTATGTCATTTCCCTTCGGACATGTCACATGGATGATGGAGGTTTTTATGTTTATGTTTGGCCTATCGTAGCTATGGATTATGTTGGTGCAGCTGTTATCTAGAATGATATGAACTTAATTACTTGAATACTAATTAGGCGGTTGTGTTGAATGGGATACTTGCAGTGGATGTTAATTATATAAACTACATGATATTTAGAGTGTTTTTTAGGGCAAAAGCTTAGTTTTAGCTCTCACCTTATCAAGTTTAAAGATTTCAACCCCTCATCTTATATTATAAATATTTTTAATCCCTTATCTTACTAAATTGGTAGGTTTTAACCCTTCACCTTATACTATAACACTTTTAGCCCCTCACCTGTTAAAATTAAAGAAAATAACCCTCACTTTATAACATTTTATTAATTCTGTTAGTTGATTATTAACTCTATTGACTGACTGTTAGTTAATTGTTAGTTTACAAAAATTTTTTTCAACTAATAAAGTTAACAGAACTAATTTTATAATATTTTGTTAGTGCTGTTAACTGACTATTAGTTGACTATTAGTTAACAAAAACTTACTTTCAGTTAATAGAGTTAATAGTCAATATAAAATGAGAGTTATTTTCTTTGATTTTAATAAGTGAGGGGTTAAAAGTGTTATAAGATAAGGTGAGGGGCTAAAACCTTCAAACTTGATAAGGTGAGGGACTAAAAGTAAGTTTTTGCTGTTTTTTAGAGGTTTACCTTCCTCTCGATCCCACTTTTATGTGGCTTCTCAAGGGACATGTCACGTGGATGATTAACCTTTTATGTTCATGGCGGCTTATTGTGATCAGTCAATTTGAATTCCCAGCAGAAGAATACTGCGAAGAACCTATGCCATGGCGTCTATTTCCCATCGTCATTTTAAAAGACAAAGTTAATGAAATAACTACCATCGTGATTAGGGAGTGAATTTGGAGTAAAACAAATTCAGGCAACTTGCCTATTCATGCGCAGCATCCATTCTGACAGAGTAAATTTTCACGCCGGCTTTTGGCGTGCAACTTGTCCATCCTTCAAACTCCCATAAGTGCTTAAAAACCTAAGGCATAAGCATTTAGTATAGCCATTGTATATAATTTCATAAAAGTTGTTCATACCCTTTGGAAATTAGTCTGCGAATCAGCTTCTGCAGCATCAACATTGATGATATCACTAAGATGATCAATAAGCTTCAACTCCCAAGCATTCTTACGGTTTATTTTTTAAAATATGTATCCAACAATCGTGATAATCAACTGAATTTCTAAGCACAGATACAGTATTTATTTAAAATTTCCTTAGAAGGGCAAAGGAAATTAACATTTTCGCTGGCGAGTTTAATGCAGCTGGTATTGTGGCAGGGATAAGGTCAGTTGGTGCTCACATTGGATGCTTTTAGTATTCTAAAGTTCATACTGTGTTATATCTTGACATGGCAACATTATTGCACTTGACCTGCTTTGTTTCTTCATATTTGATGCCACCTATAACAGATTGAACCTAAAGCTTCTAATATAGGCTTTCTCATGATAATTTTTTAATAGCTACGTTCTGGACAGAACACCTTAGTTAATGTTTAGGAGATCATATTAAAAATCTCTGTGGCATGGTATTGGCATAGAAATTTTGGAGAATATGGTAGTTACTTGCAGCACCACTGGAATTTGATAACCATTAGATGATTTTTCACCGCCAATCGATTTTATAAGGTTGGGTAACCTCTTCTATACATAGGCCACCAAGATCCAGTTGTAATCTTGAGCTGTGCCCACTACCACTCTTACCTTTCATGGCCAATCACCCAGCAGGGTGGGGGCGCTTTTATTGAGATCTTTGTTCATAATTTAAAGAGCTAAAGACTCATTGTTCACATTGCAGTGCTCTAATGACTGGCTTTTATGTCTACAAACTTGCAACTGGTGGCAACCATATTCCGGCCAAAGCTGAATGACACTATCAACTATGTATCAAAGGACTTCATACTACTAATTTCATACAAGGGTTATCAGAACTTCTTCTTTAAAATACTTGTTTGTTGAACAGATATTGTTGGAATAGGCCCAACATTCAAACAGGACTGTGTGCAACGGGCCTAGGCTATTGCCCAATAACCCAAGTTAAGGGAACACTAATGCAAGCACACCCATGTGACCAGCACCAAGTGGGCCAATGAGATGTTTACGTGTACAGATACATGTCAGCACTTGGGGTTATAAATACCCCCCAACTACCTCCGATGAAGGTAATTAATCTCTACGCTTCTCTCTCTGCAATTACTCATTGAGAGCATTTCTCTCTAGATATTGAGTATTGCTGACTTAAGCGTCGGAGTGTTTTCCCCGAGGAAACAACCTCGGGATTTTCAGGTGTAAAAGCAGCTAAGGATTTCAACAGTGTTGGACTGCGAAGCTACCCAAACATTAGGCCCAACATTCAAACAGGGCTGTATGCAACGGGCCTAGGCTACTGCCCAATAACCCAAGTTAAGGGAACACTAATGCAAGCACACCCATGTGACCAGCACCACGTGGGCCAATGGGATGTTTACGTGTACAGATACATGTCAACACTTGGGGCTATAAATACCCCCAACTACCTTTGATGAAGGTAATTAATCTCTACGCTTCTCTCTCTGTAATTATTCCTTGAGAGCATTTCTTTCTAGATATTGAGTATTGTTGACTTGAGCGTCGGAGTGTTTTCCCCGAGGAAACAACCTCGGGATTTTCAAGTGTAAAAGCAGTTAAGGATTTCAACAGTGTTGGACTGCGAAGCTGCCCAAACAGATATTATGTTGACATTCTTCCGTATTTGATGTTTGTATGATGCTGAAGACAGGTTTGTTATACAATGAAAGAAACCTGGTTGTGTCCATACTTTATTGTTCAACTCTTTTCCCATTCTATTTCCTCTCTGGTTAAAAGACCTCGATAGGTTCTTGGGAATGGAAGATTCCGAGCAAAATAGAATCATGATCATTTATAGAGATTGATTCAGATC